CAGCAGGTGACGTGCGCAGCACCCAGCTCCTGTTCAGAATGCAGGGGGTGATTTGTTTAACTGAGAAAAGTGCATTGCTCCACTTTCATACCTTTAAACCAAAAAGTCATTTGGGAATTATTTAGGAAGTATTTAGGTACTTCACGACCTTGTTGTTTCCAATCAGCTTGAGGTGGGTTAGAAGTGTCCTCAGTTTTTCAAAACAAAAAAGGTGAAATTAAACAAGGCCGAACGTTCCTGAACTAAGATGAAAGCCGTCCCTCGGGTCTGATCCGCAGGTCTAGCCATCTGAAATGTTAAGCGGTCATGTTTAAGCAAATTGCATAGGACGAGTCTAAGTTCGATCCTGATTCTAATTTTCTCACACTCAGAAGATTGGCCCTTTTTCTCTCTCCAGGTTAATTCTACATAACTTAGACAGAAAAATGGCAAATATTCCCATTTTCAGCTTTATCTGCTAATATGGACATGTGAGACGGTCAACTCACCCAATAGCTCTTGGGTCATGCTCCTCAATATGTGTTGGCAATTATTTTTATTATAATTCGGTTCTAAGTATTTCCTATTTGTCCCGTCCTGCGGGACACGGTTATTCGGGGGGCGAGGGGGACCCAGCCTGTAAAGAGAATGGGCGAGAGAAAGAGGAGGAGGCCAGGCAGATTTCTTGTCAAGGCCTCATTTAATGGGTGTAACAGATCAGTTTTTATAGTATTCAGAGAAGACAAGAGGTGGGGGGCAGAGGAATGCAGGAGTTAGAGCTTGCATCAATCTCCTGCTGGGAATGTAAACGATGTGTCTGAAACATTTTATGGCTTCTCTGGGAAGAACAGCTCCTTGTCTGATAAGGGAAAAGCAGCTCCTTATCTGATAAAGGTTAGCATACTCCAGACAGTGGGGATGGGCGGCCATCTGGCGTCATTTGGCTCCCGACACCTATTTTCACTCTAATTCTTTTCTCTCCATGCCTTACTTTTGGAAGTGCCGTGAAATTTAAGAAATGTGTAATGTTTTTTAGTTTGTGATTGTTTTTCATTTTAGTGTAGTTGCATTACGTCAAAACCTGAGCCTATATTATCACGTTTCTCTGAACCCGGGTAAGCCTTACTGTAAGGTCTAGTTTATCATTATTTCCCCCCAAATGTTCCATACGTGCTTGAGGATACTATGTAAGGTGCACAAATCTACAAATGCCTTTAGAATAAATGATTTTTAGCCAATTTTCTTTATATATTCTATCTTCTTGTTAAGTAAGATAATGAGAGAACTGTGTTAAAAATCTCCCATTTGATTATAGATTTATCAATATTTATTTGTTTTCTTTTTGGAAAAAATTTGTATTTATTTTTTTTTTTAGAGGTGAGATCTTGCTCTGTCACTCAGTTCAGTAGTGGGATTATAGCTCACTGTAGTCTCTACTTCCTGGGCTCGGGACATCCTCTCGCCTCAGCATCCCGAGTAGTTGGGACTACAGGCTTGTGCCACCATGCCTGCTGTGAACTCACATAAAACTGTAAACCCCCCCAGCCATCTGAATGGACCCCTTAATTTACTTACTGGATCACTTAAGTCTGGGTATATGTCCCATGGCTTGACTCTGCTTAACAGAGTTCCTTAGCTTAAAACATTCCAAACTTTTAGATTAACTTCATTTCTCTAACCAATTACAAATCAAAGAATATTTAAAACCACCTACAAGTCCCCTCCTTCAAGACGTCCTGCCTTTTCAGGCCAAACCAATGTACATCTTCCAGGTATTTGTTTATGATTTTATAGGCAATTTCTGTCTCCTTGAAATATAGAAACCAAACTGTCACCCAGATACAGTGGGATGACGTGCCCAAGGCCTTTCCTGGGTGTGGCTCTCTGGGCCATGGCCATATAGATGTGGCTCATAATAACCTTCTTTAAATTATTTCACAGAGTTTGAGCTCTTTTCCATAATACCAGGTACTATTCTTCTTCCTTTTTTTTTTCTTAAAAAGACTTGCTATGTTGCTCAAGTTAGTTTTGAATTCCAGGCCTCAAAGGATCTTCTGCCTCAGCCTCCTGAAGAGCTGGGATTTGGGGCGTGAGCCACCGTGCCTGCCTTCAATATTTATTTGTAATCTTTTCTTTCTAATGAACCATCTTCTTTTGTGTAATTATTATCCTGTGCCCCTTGTATTGTCTACCTGTGGTACTTTCTGCTGTCAGTCCGTCAGAGTGGGAGGTACAGAGGCCTCTTTCCAATCAGCGTTTTCCTGCTTGGTTCCCAATCTTTTTCTTTTGCTATTTCTTAATCCCTATGTGTGTGTTCTTATAAGAAACAGAAACACTAAGAAAAAAATAATGACATCTGAAAATGATTTTTCTTTTAACCTGAATGCTTATTTCACAAATCAAAAGTATATCAATATATTACTGTTTTCCCCAAGGCACTCCGTAGACTATTTTAATTCTAATTATTCCCTTCCAATATTTCATGCCTTTGTGTCTTCTGGCAATCCGTGTTTTAATTCTAACTTGATTTTTACCTGTGATGTGGTGGACCACACTGTCCAGTGCCTCCTCATCTGTGGCACAGTGGACCAGGAACAGGTCCACAATGCCACTGGCTGTTCTCCTGACCTTTCTCTTTTTGTCCTAATATTTCAGCCAATGCTATTGTGTATCTCGTTAAGATTTTTACCTGCACAATTCATCACTTAGGCGCTGACTAGATGAATAAGCACCAAGTGGGTGCAGGAGCAATTATTTTCTTGAGTGACATCCAACACACATTGGAGAAACATAAATTATACCTGCCAGGTTGCAGAGGCCATCCATGAGAGGGATGGATTAATGTGAGTTTAGATCTTTTGAAAACGAAGAGTATTTTATAGACCACTGTATCTTATTTCTGCTTAGAAGGCTTAGGCCTTTTGGACTCTTTGTATCTCAGCGTGTCCGTGTCGAATGCCTCTGACCACTGAGTTTTCTAGCAGGAATCATAAGTTCTGTTGTTCTTGAACATGTTTACTGTGTCTTCAACACTTCCACCTCTGATAGATAGTTCAAGAACAGTGTCAAATAGAAACTCCATTGTTTTCCACGCTGCCGACTTATAGGTGTGACTGTGTTGCAGGAATATTTTTGTAAATTCACACCAATCAGCAGACTCGTGCACTGATTACGAGGCAGTTCCGACTTCAGTGGTCCTCAACTGTTGGTTCAAAGAAGAGCCCCTAATTCCGGGCTGTCTCATTAACACCATAGGAAAATGATCTTTCACGGTTTTGTGCTAAAAATCATTATAAGGGACAGAATTTTTCTTCAGTTGTCAGAATATTTTGTGCTGCCTTTTTTCTGTCAGCAACTGCCAACAGGTGATAAAATTAATTAAGAAGAAAGTTAAAAGCATACATAGAAATGAATCAATTATCTTTAATTCAGCAGCTTTTCTTTTTTTCAAGTCATGCACAAATAACTGTGCGTTCAGGGTGGTGCCTGTGGCTCAAAGGAATAGGGCACCAGCCCCATAAAATGGAGGTGGTGGGTTCAAACCCAGCCCTGACCAAAAAAAAAAAAAAAAAAGAGTAACTATGCTTAACAGTAGTTACTTAAAAAAAAAAAAAAAACAGCTGTGTGTTCACACCATGCATGCACTGTAATTGTAATCCAGCCTGTAATCAAATTGGACATGGTACAGCAGTGTTCCAGCAGGCTCCACAGTGAGCCCCACAATGTGCCAGCTCTTGTACAAGGTTGAAAAAAATTGCTGTTATCAGTCCCTTCCCTGGGCTTCTGGGGAAGCTACTGTAGAAGGTGAATTATGGTTCTCTACTATGATTTATTATCTTGCCTATTTCATGAGTCAATATGAATATAAAAGTAAATATTTAAAATGATAGTGGGGAGCAAAGGTGTTCAGGGGCAGAGGTCACCTGCTGTGGGGTTAATGATGGACCTTTGACCTCAAGCCCAGGCTCGGAGTCAGGGAGAGTATGGAAGGGAAAGGAAAATTTCAGCCAGGGAGATCATTTGAGCCTCGTTGAGAGACTATAAATTTTATGTTTTAATAAGATTGAGGAGATCAGTCTGTCTGAGCAAGATATTCAAATGTAAATAAAAAATGATAGAGTCGGATGCAAAGGTGCATCTTTAACATCAGTCTTCGTGGAGTGTGTATTAGTGTGTTCCAGCTGCCATAACAAACGTCCTAGACCAGGCGGCTGGTCAACAACTGAACTGTATTTCTTACGGTTCTGGAGGCTGAGCCCGAGATGCAGGCAGCAGAGACCTGATACCTGGTGAGGTTCACGGATGGGTCACGGACGGTGCCTTCTTGAGTCCTCCCATGGTGGAAGGGCCCGGGGGGCTCGGGGGATCTGTTTCATAAGGGGACTCGTTCCCCTAGTGAGGTGAGGGCTCTGCTGCCCTGGCCCCCTCACCTCTCAAGGGCCCCACCTCCCACGTTATTGCTTTGGGGATTAGGTTTCAAGATACGAATTTCAGGAGGACACGATCATTCAGAGCAGGGCAGAGTGGATCACACAGACTCTACGTGTGGAAGAATACATTGACCAAACGTGCAAATAGCTGTGTCTGTTTTTATGTCATGTCTGGAAGAGTGAAAACATCAAATATAATATATTCTTGGATATTCACACAATGTTTTTACTTGTTTTCATATCCGATGTTAAGTCCTTGAACTTTTATATATTATGCATAGGGTTGTCAGATTTAGCAAATAAACATTCAGAACTCTCACTTAAATTGGAATATCAGATAAAAACAAATGATTTTTTTAGCATAAATATGTTCCAGAAATAGAATATACTTATGCTAAAAAATTATTCATCATTCATCTAAAATTCACATTTAATGGGGCATTTTGCATCATATCTGGCAACCCTGATTATAACCTCATGATGTGAAAATAGTCTTTTTACAAGTTTCATTAGTATTTTATAGATTACTTAGATACAATATGTTTATAAATCAGTTCAGAGTACTATACATTTAAATAACATATTCTGCAGAAAAATCCCACCCTAATGTCTCCAGAGAAATCGTGTTTCCAGATGGGACAGTGAAGCATCGTAAGGGTGGATGTGAGGAGACCTTATTTCCTGATGGGACAGTTCTAAAAGTGGAACGGTCAGTACAAGTCAGACATGTGTCTGAAACAATCTGAATTTTTGGTTTGTGTGGGGTTTTAAAAAATCATTTCTTTAGATCAGTGGTTCTCAACCTTCCTAATGCCACGGCCCTTTAATATGGTTCCTGTGGGTCATGATCCACAGGTTGAGAACTGCTGCTCTAGATTAATTCTGATTTTTGCAGAAGTGTATTTGTATAAACAGAATAATAGAAAATAGTAGCATTTACTCTAGACGTTTTGTCTCAAGGCCTTGATCTGAATCCCTTTGTGGAGAACATGGGTTTAATCACTGACATTCAGGCATTCATTCCAATGACATGGGTCATGCTTGCCTGGTGACCCCAGAGATAACTCCAGGCTCAGAGCCTGCCTCCCCCAGCCCTGCCATGTTGTCCAGAAGCCTGAGTCTGTCGTGGCACAGATGCAAACAAATATGTAAGACACACCAAGAAAGGCGTCTCAGATTCACTGTTTCAACATTAGCATGTGCAGAGGCTGAGGACAGGGAGTCCCCTGCACGGGAGGGCTGCTCAGGCTCCACAGCTCCACACCAAGTCCCAGCGTCTGCCGAGCCCATAGGCTGTGTCCCCTCACTGCCTGCTCTCACTTCTGCCCTGAGGGTCACAGCCCCACCTGCTGCCACACTTGCAGTCCTGGACACAGCATGGCCATGTCACAAGGGCACTCACTTCTCCCCAACAGGAATGGTGACAAGACCATCGTGTTCAGCAATGGCCAGAAGGAAATCCACACGGCCCAGTTCACACGGCGGGAGTACCCCGATGGCACCATCAGGACGGTGTATCTCGACGGCTCTCAGGAAACCCGGGACGCCTGCGGGAGGGTCAGGGTCCGAGGCAAGGCTGGACGTGTCTTCCAGGACAAGAGGTGGGTCCTCTCTCAGAGCAGCTGGAGGCCAGAGCCACCTGTGAAATTCCAATTGGAGGTTAAAACTAAAAAGGCATCAGCTGCCCCAAATGACGCCTCCGCATGAGCCCCCATCTGGGAGGGAGGGATGTCTCTCCCCTCCTTAGGACAGTGGTTAGGACTGGCCCTATCGAACGGCTTGAGCCCAGGAGGGAACCATGACTTCCTCTGTGCAGGAGCCTGTTCTGACATGGACGGCCCAGGAGGGCGGAGGATAAAGCTGGGTCTCTGAGTCCCTCCCCCTGTGCCCGGCCCATCTCTGGCCCTGCTCACTCTGGAATTAAATTAGTTCAGCCTGGTCACTCCCCTCTGGGTACCAGCACCCTGTCTCCTGCTGGGGCAAGTCACTGCACCCCCAAGTCGCCTCCTGAAACTCTTGACGTTTTAATCCTGACATAACATCTCGACCGCCCGTCACTCACTGCCTCTGTTTTTTTTCAGGCTGCCTAGCAAATACAAGAGCAAATGGGCATCTGACTAATTTCACACTAAAATGTAGACTCCTCCAAACACGGTTTCGGAAAGAAATAGTTTCTTGAGACTCTTATCAGAAGATGTATGTTTGTTTAATTTTTTTCCATATGCACTCATGTTTTTATGTGAAGGAGATAAAATTGATTGTAATGCCAATGACAATTTTAAAGCTAAGATATATTGTGCGTGCATTCTTGTAGCCCTGAATGTTTTGGTAATGCTTTTTAAAGTAACTCTGGATTAATGTGACTTAAAGTGAAGGGAAAGAACCCCGCTGCCCGGATGCTGGAGGGGCCTTTCCTTTTCAGGTGACACCAAACCAAGGCAAGGTCATTTGTCAAGTGTGACCCACGAAGCTAGTCCTTCATGAAAAACCGGCGGGGTGCCTGGAAAGGGGCACGCCGCTGCTGCTTTGGTTATTTTGCATCAGTTCATACTAAGAATTGTCATCAAAGCCAACAAAACAAAACCCTGCTCGACTGAGTAAATGGACCGGTCAGCAGGCCACGCTCAGCTGCTGTGATCTGCGTCAATTGTGACCGCAGTGCACCCTCAAACGGGGATGGGCACAAACTCTGTGACCAACAAGACGACTCCAGCTTGAGCATCCTGCCGGACGCACCACATGGCTGTCCCTTGGACATACTGGGATCAGCGCAGGCTTCTGAAGACGACATCTCGTATCAATTGCCAAACAGCTAGAATTTACTTGTAGCTCTTCACACACTCCTAAAGGCTGCTTATCGGATGTGCGATCCAGTTATGTTTATGAAATTAATTTTGAGAAGGAGGTATTTGCAAGCAGTGAATAAGCTGACTTTGTGGATCAAAAGGTGGCTGTGAGAAAACCACGGCCCACCATGGCCACAGTGGATAAATGGCTGGGAAACAAACAGTATGAGTGCAGGGAGGACGGTGAACCACACGCGGGCTCTCCCAGCTGGTCCCCTCGGGCCACGTTGTGTCTCCACACATAGCAGCACACACCTGACCTGAGAGCCTGGCCCGTGGTCCCCACACTGCCTAGGGGCCTGCAGGGAGGGGAGCACAGTGCTGCCCACACACCTGGCCTGAGAGCCTGGCCCGTGGTCCCCACACTACCCAGGGGCCTGCGGGGAGGGGAGCAGAGTACTGCCCACACACCTGACCTGAGAGCCTGGCCCGTGGTCCCCACACTGCCCAGGGGGCTGCGGGGAGGGGAGCAGGGTACTGCCCACACACCTGACCTGAGAGCTTGGCCTGTGGTCCCCACACTGCCCAGGGGGCTGCGGGGAGGGGAGCAGGGTACTGCCCACACACCTGGCCTGAGAGCCTGGCCCGTGGTCCCCACACTGCCCAGGGGGCTGCGGGGAGGGGAGCACAGTGCTGCCCACACACCTGACCTGAAAGCCTGGCCCGTGGTCCCCACACTACCCAGGGGCCTGCGGGGAGGGGAGCAGGGTACTGCCCACACACCTGACCTGAGAGCTTGGCCTGTGGTCCCCACACTGCCCAGGGGGCTGCAGAGAGAGGAGCAGAGTACTGCCACAGAGTCACCTCTTCATCTAGCGCAGGGCACAGCTACCAAAAGGCCTGGGGATGGAGCCTTCTTCACTCTGCCGTGGACTCCTCTGTCTTTCCCTTTCCTATAGAAACCAACTCCCACTTCAGAGCAAGCACCCAGGTTTCATGGCCATCTGGCCAGCATGCCCCTTTGTTTCCAAGGCCAGTACCTGACAGAGACCCTCCCATAGGTCAGCCCTGGCCCCATATGAGTCCTGACCTCTGTCCTTCAGAGGCCAGCGTGGCCATGCTCCTTCCAGAAAGCCCTTCTTTGTCCCCCCTACATGCCCTGACAGGGTCTCCATGTGCTCCCTGGTCCCTGCCACCCTCCTGTGCTACCCCAGGGACCTGGTCACCCATTCACCTTTCCTGCAGCCCAGAGCACATGAAGGGTAGGCACGGCCGTGTCCACTTTGGGCTGTCCAGTTACTAGAAGAGCCCCCAGCAGGATCTGTAATAAACGAGTGAGGGTTGCTGATAACATGGAGAGGGTCAGCACAAACTCTAAATGTTGCTGTTTCTTTAAAGCAGAGGAGTTTCAACTGGAGGGTTGCTCTCCCCCAAATGAACATTTTATCAATGTATCAGATTCACCTTTGCAACTACTTTTCCTTGCATATTAAAAGATTGATTCTTATTAGATGAAATTTACTCAAATAGTTTAAAAGGCAAGCATAGATTAAGTGGCTGATTCCTTTGAACAGATACCCCTACACAAAAGTAAACCCAACAACTAAAGTTCTTATCTGTTTACACACCTAAACTTTGAACCTACCCTACGGATGAGTCATTTCTTTACTAGTCTATGATTAAATTTTATACTTTCCCAGAATTATTACTGTAATTTTACTTTGTGGTCATTTTCACCTCTTGCCCAGCCTGAAAGAACAAACTCCCAAACCCTCAGGCCTGTGCAGCACCACGTGGGAACTATGTTATTCGAGTGGTGTTTTTCTCCCACAGTCCACGGTCGCTGGACTCAACTTTTTACAGTTAAGCTTGACGTGCTGCACTAGCATTTTCACATTTTTCAGTTAATGCCATTCACAAAATTTAAGTTGTTTGCAAAATCATATCAGGGCCACATTATAATTATCCATCTGGTGTGTGGGGTTGCTGAATGTAGCTCTTACGTTTTAAAAAATGGTTTTGTGGGAGCCAAACTAATTAACTCAAGTCACAAGTCAAACTACCTCCTTTTTGCTGTTTATTCACGACAATGGGCTGCCGTATACCAAGGACCTTATCATACCTAGGTGTTACAGCCCACATCCTGGCCCCCTCCCCTTGTCCCACTAGCCCCCTTGTGCACTCAGCCCACATCCTGACCCCCTCCCCATTTTGCACTCGTCACTCGACTCTGCACTCGCCCCACTTGCAACCCCCTCCCCTTTTTGCACTTGTCACTCCACTCTGCACTCCGACCCCCTCCCCTTTTTTGCACTTGTCACTCTACTCTGCATTCACCCCACTTGCGACCTTTATCCCTTCCTTCTCATTCACTCACCTGAGACAAAGATGACTCATCCCTAAGCCAATCAACCCTGAACACTACCACCCTGTACCTGTCAGTTTAGGACAGACATGGTTTATCTACCAATAAGGGAATGGGGTGGGATGGTCTAATGGGAGGGGAGAGGGAGAGGTATAAAGGAATTGTCTGAATAGTCTGTAAGGGCTGCTCCCACTTTTTCTTAAAGGGCAGCCCAGGCTCTGAACTTAAATGAATAAAATTCTTCATGCCTTTGCAGCGATGTTCGGACTCTCAGAGTGGTGCTTGAATTGAGTCTGGAGGTTAACAGTTTCAGCTTTTAAAAAGCTATTCCTAAGAATTGTGTATATTTTGCAAAGACTTAAACAGAAACTGGTACAGGCTACTGAAACTATTCCTAACACCAGCTGCAATTCCAGGCACTTTGTGATGTGCCGTACAATCACCGCTCAGACAGTGTAACTGGCTACGTTCTGAACACGAGCTGTGCGTGGCAGTGATTTATCAGTGTGCATTTTAGTTCCCACTGCTAAGTGCCTGCCCAACAGGGCCAAAAAGTAGCCAATTTTCAAAATTTTAGCCTGTCAGAAAAAAGCTGGAATAATCCGAAAATGGGCCGTGTTCTTTTGGCCCCTCCTCATAGCAGGTGAGACTGAGGAAGTTCTTCTTTTCTCTGGCTCCTAAAGTGGGAGGTCCAGCAGCCCGAAGGGGAAACCCAACCCCAGTGGCTGGAGGAAGGAGACAGGCCTGAGCAGGTGGAGATGGGGACACCTCTGCACCCCCATCGAAGGCCTCAGGGAGAACAGACAACAAACCCCCTTGCCCCAGGCTGGTCTGAGTCTGTTATTTCAACCCAGCGTGTGAGGCCATCCTGCAGTAAGGCCCCCTGATAGATGAACTCCAGGAGAGGCTGCCACTGCTGACAGTGATTTCAGATGGATTGGCAGGGGACATCCACATCACAGCAGGGGATCTGGGGAGAGGGCTGGGATGTGGGAATCCTGTTTTGAAACAAAATGAATAAGGACCATCTTCTTCAATTTTCAAATACCTCAAGTCCCCAGAATATTTTGCAGACTCAAAGATCCCACCCACCTTTTTAGCTCCTTGAAACAATCCTTTGGCTGCCAATTTCCTGGCCCCATGGCTGAGGTGGTTTCTGTTTTCCTGAGTTTTCAGGTGTCTTTAGCATACACTTTGAAAGATTTCAGGCAAAAAGAAACCCCGTGCTCCCCACCCACTGTCCTGAAGGTCCCAGGGCCCCTGCGGTGGCCTCCTCTCCACCCTTCAGAGTTGTCCTGCTGGTTTTACTTGTGCTGCCTGAGGTTTAGTTGTGCTTGGAGGGAGGGATGGAGAAATGACCACTGTCTCTCTTCCTAGAAGGGCAAGTCCAAGGGTTTCTCAGTAACCACCGTGCCCCTTAGTAGGTCCTCTGACTTTGCCACAGGTCCATCTGTCCTCCCTCAGGAAGGCTGTTTCCAGCTGATTCTCTCCGTCCCCTCTGTGCCTCACGCAGACTCTGAGCAGGTGAGGTCCCCTCTGATTCTCTCCGTCCCCTCTGTGCCTCATGCAGACTCTGAGCAGGTGAGGTCCCCTCTGGTTCCCTCCATCCCCTCTGAACTTGGTCTCCTTTGAACTTCTCATGTGAGACCATTATTAATTTAGCATTATGGGCCCACATTTCACTGTATGTCAGAGACCACACAGGTCTGGCACGCTTTCCTGACAGGTGGCCGAAGGCTGTTCTTGCCCTTAAACTTCAAATGCTCACATAAACCCATCTTTTCCTAAGGACACATGCTTTACGCATTGCTATAAGATTGACTTTTATACCCCAGGAGTCATTAAAACCCGGCCCATGATGAAGTAATGAGTATTTTTAAAAATTGAGGAGAGGGAAATCTCATCTCTGATTTTCAAGTGATTCCACGGGCTGATTTAGTCTCGCTGGGGTGCCTGAGCATCTGAGGAAGAGGCAGGCCCCTTGACTGGAGAGGCCAAATACTTTAAAGTAGGAAATTCACTGACATTTATAGTCGGAACCACCTTGATGTGCTCCTATTCCTACTTGACTTGTTTAGACATTTCCGGGAACAAGGTTAAGAACTCATCAAAACAATTGAAAGCTTTAAAAAATGTAAATGCATGAAAACAGTCAGGGAGCAAAACGCTCACCGTGGGCTCGTGTCTCAGCCTCCTGGAACCCTTTCTTTTCTCTTGACTTTCTTGAATTCCATCCCAGTGAAGCAACGGAACTGTCAGCTGTTCCAGAAGCCCTCCCTGTGCACTTGAGTCACAGAAGGTAGTTATTACCTGATGTTGACAGTGACCACCTCCCACTGCTCATCCTCATTCTGAGAGTTTGGTCTTGTCTATCCTTTTTTTTTTTTCTTTTTGAGGCTTTGGGCTGAAGTGCAGTGGTATTATCACGGCTCACTGTAGGCTTGGACTCCTGGGATCAGGTGATCCTCCTGCCTCGGCCTCCCAAAGTGCTGGGATTACAGGTGTGAACCACCATGCTCAGCCTCATTTTAAAAAGTTTTTAATTGACAAATAATGATTATACCTATTTGTGAGGTAATATGTTGGCATTGTGGAATGATTGAATCAAGCTAATTAACATATCCATTAATCCACAAATTTACTATTATTTGTGGTGAGAACATTTAAATTTCTTTTAGCAATTTTGAAATAATACAATATATTATTATCAACTATGGTCACCAAGTTGCACCACAGATCACTAGACCTTACTTCTGTCTGAAACTTCATAGCTTCAGCTATGAAGGGTCTGCACCCCAGCCCGTGGTCACAATTTTACCCTCGGCCATAGAGTCTGTGGGTTCGACATTTTTTGATTCCACATGTAAGTAAATTTATGCAGTATTTTTATTTTCTGTGCCTGGTTTCTTCACTTTGCATATAGTGTGCCAGGTTTAACTATGTCGTCACAATGATGGAATTGCCTTCTTTCCCCAGGCTGAATAGTCTGTCGCTGTAGATACGCACCACGCTTTCCTTACACGTGCCCCTGTTGGGGGACACAGGCTGCTTCCATGTCCTACCTGTGGTGGCGGCTGCTGCAGTGAACACCCAGGGCAGAGAATGCTTTGACCCTCTGACTTCATTATCCTCAGATAGACATCCAGAGGTGGGCGTGCTGGGTCGTGTGGTAATTCTCCTCTTAGCTTCATAAGGAACTTCCCCCCTGTTTCCGTGATGGGTGATCAATGGACATTCTCACCAACACTGTGCCAGGGCTCCCTTCTCTCCACCTCCCCACTGGCACTTGTTTTCTTTTGTCTTTTTGGTGACAGCCATTCTAACAGGTATGAGATGATATCTCCTTGTGGCTTTAACTTGCATTTCTCTGATGGTTAGTGATAATGAACATTTTTCATATATACTTGGCACTTGTGTGCCATCTTTAGAGAAATGTCTGTTCAGGTCCTTTGCCCATATTTGTTTAGGTTCCTTATCTATTTATAATAATAGGCATTTATCAGACATGTCGTTTACAAACCTTCCCCCAGTCTGTGGCTTCTCCCTCCACTCTGTTAATTGCTTCTTTTACTGTTGAGAAGCTTTTTTGTTTGATGAAATCCCATTTGTCTATTTTTGCTTTTGTTGCGTAGGCTTTGGGGTTCATGTCCTGTAAATCACTGTCAGACCAATGTTGGGCAGCTTCTTTCCTGTAGTTTTAGAGTTTCAGGTCTTTTGTCTAGGTCTCTAACACGTGTCGTGTTGATTTTTCTTCAGTGTGTGAGATAAAGGTCCAATTTCATCCTTCTGCATGTGGGCATCCACTTTCCCAAGACCATTCATTGAAAAGACTGTCCTTTCCCCACTATGTGTTCTTGGCACCGTTGTGGAAGATCAGTTCACTATAAACATGTGTGTTTATTTCTGGGCTCTCCGTCCTGTTCCATTGGTCGGTGTGTGTCTTCATGCGTGCCATGCTGCTATGACCACCACCGCTTTGTAACAGGCTCAAAATCAGGCAGTGTGATGCCTCTTCCTTGGTTCTTTCTCCACCAGTATTGCTGTGGCTACTTAGGGTCTTCTGTTTCACTACACAAGCATAGGCTTGTGTTTCCTAGTTCTGTGAAAAATGACATAGCAATTTTGAGGGAAATCACATTGCATCTTAGATTGCTTTGGGTAGTTAAGACATTTTAACAATAGTTTTTCCAGTTCATGAATGAGGGATAATCTTTTAATTTATTTGTATCATCAACTTCTTTTATTAGTGTTTTAGAGCTTCAGTATACAAATTTTCACCTCCTTGGTTAAATTTACTCTAAGTATTTTAAATTTTTTTATGCTGTTATAAATGGGATTTTTTAAATGTCTTTGTCAGATAATTCATTGTTAACATACAGAAACATGATGGATTTTTGTATGTTGATTATATCCTGCAGCTTTGCTGAATTCATTTATGAGCTGTAGCAGTTTGTGGGTGGTCTTTAGGGTTTTTTATATTACGATCTTGTTATCAGCAGAGGCAATGCTGTGTCTTTTCTTTCTTTTTCTGGCCAAGGTAGTAGAACATTGAATAGAAGTGGTGAAAGTGGGACATCTCTGTCTTATTTCTAAGCTTAGAAGAAAATCTTTCAAATTTTCTGTTGATTATGATGTCAGCTATGAAATTCGGATATGCGGTCTTTACTGTGTTGAAGTACATTCCTTCTATGTTTAATTTGCTGAGAATTTTCATTATGTAAGGGTATTGAAGTTTCAAGTGACTTTCATGCGTCCGTGAGATGATCAGATGTTTTCTGCCCCTCACTCTGTTACTGTGGGGTATCACATTTATTGACTTGTGTTTGCTGAACTATTCTTGCATCTCAGAAAAAGTCCACTTCATCCTGATCCTTCAGGGTGCTGTGGAATTCAGTTGGCTGGAGTTGTGTGGAGGACCTTAGCAGCTATGCTTCTCAGGGCCTATAATTTTTCTTTTCTTTATCTTTGTCTGGCTTTGGTATCAGGGTAATGCTGGTCGTTTTTTTTTTTTTTTTTTTTTTTGAGACAGGAGCCTCAAGCTGTCCCCCTGGGTAGAGTGCCATGGCATCTCAGCTCACAGCAATCTCTAACTCCTGGGCTCAAGCGAGTCTCCTGCCTCAGCCTCCCAAGTTGCTGGGACCACAGGCGCCCGCCACAATGCCTGGCTATTTTTTGGTTGCAGCCGTCATTGTTGTTTGGCAGGCCGGGCTGGATTCAAACCTGCCACCTTAGGTGTATGTGGCTGGCACCTTAGCCGCTTGAGCCACAGGCGCCGAGCCGGTAATGCTGGTCTTATAAAGTGAGTTTGTAAGTATTTTGTTTTCTTGAATTTTTTAGAGGGGATTGAGGAGTATTGGCATTTGTTCTTCTTTAAATGTTTGATAGAATTTAGCATTAAAGCTCTCAGGTCCTGGACTTTTCTTTGATGGGAAGTTGTATTACTGATTCAATCTCCTTACTTGCTATTATTGGCCTGTTCAGACTTTCTATTTCTTTATGGTTAAGTCTTGGTAGGTTCTGTGTGAAACTGTACCAGTTTCTCAGGTTATCTAACTGGTTGGTGTATGATTGTTTACGACCTCCTCTGATGACCCTTTGTATTTCTATGGTTTCAATTGTAAGGTCTCCCCTTTCATTCTGATTTTATTTATTTGAACACTCTGTTCCCCCCAGTTTGTGAAAGGTTTGACAACTTTGTTTTTCTTTTTTAAAAACAACCTTGTTTCTTTGACCTCTTCTCTCATTTTTCTCGTGTCTGTTCATTCACTTCTGCTCTGCTTTTTGTTATTTCCTTCCTTCCACTAATTTGGGGCATAATTTCTCCTTTTTTTCCTAGTTCCTGGAGATGCACCATTTGGTGGTTTATCTGAGATCTTTCTTCCTTTTCAATATAGGCATCTATTGATATAAATTTTCTTTTAGAACTACTTTCTCTGCATCTCATAAGTTTTGGAATTTGTGTTTCTGTTTTCATTTGTCTCAAGGTATAATTTGATTTCTATTTTAATTTCTTTGACTGACTGTTTTATTAGGAGAATTTTGTTTAATTTTTATATATTTGGGATTTTCCCAAAATTCCCTTGCTGTGATTTCTAGTATCATTATGATCTGTAGAGAAATGTGATATGATCTTGATCTTCTTAAAGTTGTTAAGACTGTTTTGTGGCCTAACATCTGACCTACCCCGAGGGACGTGCTATGTGCACTCAGACCAGCGTGTTCTGTGCTACTGGGGAGAATGTCTGCAAGTGTTTTTCAGGCAGGCCCAGATGATAAATGTGTGGCTGAAGCCCCAGGTTTTCTCATTGATTTTCCATTTGGAAGATTTTCTGCCTGTGGGTAAAAGCCAGCGTAGGCTGGTGTCCACAAAGACTCGTTACGGCCCTGAGCCTCAGCCCCTCGACTGCTGTGCACACCTAAGGTGGTGGTGGGGATTGGACTGTCCAGCAGAATAGATGAGAGACTAGTCTGGGAAACATCTAGATAGAGCTCAGCAACTTAGAGACGGGATATAAATAAAGCTAGAAAGCAACTGACCACTACCCTCCAGCTGAGCTGTCCGCCTGCCCAGAGAACTCCTGCTCTGTGTTTAGTGCTCCTGCCTCAGTGCTTCACCTGACAACTTTCTTCCTTGAACAAAGCACTGCCTGTTTAAGCAAAGCGTGAAACTGTTACCTTCTCACCTTTTGCTTTGTGTTTGAATGCCCCCCAGACCCCTAATCAGAGGCCTTGAATATTCTGCTTGAGAGGGCACCTGCTAGATAGTGTTGTCTCTCTCAAGTCAAAAAGCTGTATGTGTATGAATTTCTCCTCATCTTCTCTCCCCCTGTCTGTCAGACCCTCAGTGGTCGGATAAAGTCCCTGCTTCAGGGAACTCCCAGTCCACTGTGCTGCGGCCCAGTTCCCAGGTCTAGACAACTGTCCATTGATGGAGCTGGAGTCCCCTCCTGTCACTGCATCGCCTGGAGTCCCTGCTGTTGGTGTCACTCTGAATGACTAATCTTTAACAAGGTAATTTTGACAAAATGTGGTTGATTAAAAAGTTAACTCCTGGCCTTTTTGTGCTATTTTTGCCTTAGAATTCTTAAAAATGTGAAAATAATCTTGTTCTTGTGTTTAAATAAACACATCGTGTGACTGTAAGAAAGTTCATCCAAACACCAGTGTTCTTTCAGAGATCTGAGCAAGCAAAGTTATAATCACATAACATAATTTAATCCCTACCTCAGCACGTTACATCTGTAACATCAGAGCTGTGACACTTGTATATACAGCCAGGTCTTTGGTCCCTGTGACCCTGTCAGGGACTTGAACTACTGCTTTCTCTGGGGTACGAACCCCTTGGTTTCCACAAGTCTGTGTCACTTTCTTTTGGTCTGACTCTTTGCCACATGGGAGTGCTGCTCACGCATCAGTTTCTGCATCTCTTGGATTATCCTTTTGACGTTTAATCCGTTCCTGGAAGCTCCAAAAGTAGCTTCATTGAAAGGAAAAATGAGAACAAAATTGCCTGCTTGGGAGTCTGGCACCTTGCCCTGGTCTGAGAGGACACAGGGGGAGGTCCTCGGCTGGCAGGTGGGAGCCCGGGTGAAGGAGGTGTAGGCCGTGAAGGCCCTGCCAGGCACCTGCCTGCTCCCCAGCCTGGATGGGGCTTTGGGCAGTTTTCCTGAGGGCGGACGTGGGTCCTGCCCTCTCAGCATGTCCCCCAGGTGAGTGGCCTGGGCCTTCTCAGGACACAGCTCTGGCAGATTCTCCATGGCAGAATTGCTGTTGCTGTGTGTCCCTGGGAATCGTGAGAGAGACCTGTGAGGAGGAGAGCACCAGGTGTTGGGTCCACCTCTGTTGCTCTTCCCACGGGAGACACTGGACGTCATCTGTGGCACGCTGCTGTGTTCTCTTCCCTCGGTTCTTCGCCCATTTAAGTAGACCAACTCGATCACATCATGGATAAGTCTTCTCTTCACAGACACATCTGTTGAACAGTCTAAGGACAAAGCTGGGCTGTAGTTGACTTCCAGGAGCCATGGTTTCAAGTTGTCATCAATCAAAATATCAAACCCGAAGAGCTCGAAGCAATTGGCGGCAACAGGCACCAAGGGCGCAATGGCAAGAACGGTGAGGGTGACCACGCAGTGGATTTTCCGCCACAGGAGCAGGTCGTCCACATCCCAGCTGCGAAGGTAGGAGAAGAACCTGCTGAGGGTCCACTTGCACCCGTGGCCAACCACCTCCTTGATCTTCTCGTAGGAGGCCCCGCCTTTGTTGATGCTGCAGTTGGTCAAGTGGGCGTAATAATTCTGCAAATTACTGAGGTCAAACTTCTCTGTGGCAAACCGTGCGATCCCTTCCCGATAAACATATATGGTCAAAGGCCTAAAGCCAGTGACACAGACATAGATGCGAAGATCACATTTGTATCTGCCAACCAGCAGAGGGTTGCAGATGTATTTCTGCACTACACTCGTCTCGTCAAAGATGAAGTCTTTCATGTCACTGAAAATGATTATCCCCCTGCCCCGGGATAACTCGGCAGGCTTGCAGATCCAGTAGCCACTCTTGGTGCCCAGCGCCTGCCTTTCCCTGAAGTACTCAGCCACAAACTTGGTGTAGTCGCTGGGCATGACAAAGGTGAGCGGGGTGAACTCATAGAGGGGGGTGCTGTACAGCCGCTTCATGTGCCTCAGGCGTCTGGCCAGGTTGTCCTTCCTGGTGAGCTTGGTTGTTCCTGGGTGGTGGTTCAGCCTCTGCCACGGCTTCAGGTTGATGTGCTCAGCCATTTGGAACGCAGACGTCCTCCAGTACAGGTTCCAGCCCTCCACACTCTGCTTCTGCTCATCGTACCTGTCCCAGCCGCGCTCCAGGAGGACACTCTGCACCACCGTGGGGGTGTTCTCGTCTACACGGAACACCAGCGGCTTCAAGATGGCCCGACGGTTCATTTTCCTCTGCCAAATATTTTCTTTTCTAAAAATTAAAAATCAAAAACAGTTAGGGGAGCTGGCCAAGACTCCAAATCAAGTAGAGCTCCCCCTGTAAGATGGCACATTGCCTGGCTGCTGCCGGTGCCTTCCTGAGGTCACACGGTCTTGCTGGACACCCACCTCTCCTCCCCTCACCTCAAGGCCACCTTTCCTGGAGGAGAAGTCCATGTCCTCCTGGGCACAGGCTGCACATATCCCATTCTGTGGGCAATATGTTAAAATGTTTGCAGCTACATCAGCAAAACTTCCACAGGCTGAAGGTCACCTGCACCTGTGTAAGGCCTGTTGCCCCAAAGTGAGTATTATTAGGAGTAAAAAAAAAAGAAAGAAAGAAATGTTAAGCTTTTATAGTTAAATAAATTGGCCTGATAAGTGTGAGGGAATTGGCCAAACAGCTATGGGGGCCCTCCAGGCACCCAGCTGCCCGCGCCAGGTCTCCTGGAGGAGTCTTCCTGGGCAGAGGCTTGGGCAGTCAATTAAATAAGTGGTAATTTATAACAAAAATGGTTGAGAAGAAAAACTTGAATTTTTAAAAACCCATTTCGCCATAACAAAATTATGGCTATTATGCCTTGAATTTCAAAAGATTAATAGAAAATGGAGATTTGTAACATTCTTCTGGACTACAAAGAAGCAAACAGAACAGTTTTTCAGAAACTAGTAACTGATTCTGACACACTATGTTCTAGTATGACCCGAGGAGAAGGTGGGAAACGGCCACTACGAGGGTGCTGTGATCTGGACTGTTCCTGCACAGTCCATCACACAGCCACGGAAACTATCACGGGGTGGGGACGCTGTAGTGTCTGAGAGTCCTGATTAAGGCAAAAGGAGTAAATTTTGAGAGACTTTTTGTAAGGAAAGAGGAGGGAAAGAAGAAAAGAAGGAAGAAGGAAGGAAGAAGGGAGGAAGGGGGAGGAAGGAAGGGAAGGAAGGGAAGGAGGGGAAGGAAGGAAAGAAGAAAGGAAAGAAAGGAAGAAGGAAGGAGGGAGGAGGGAGGGAGGGAGGAAGAAGGGGGAGGAAGAAAGGAAGTGAGAGAGGAAGGA